AATATTAAGAGAAAACTTTTTATTTGATTTTGCAAATGAAATAATCCAAAATCCAGAAGGAAATTAGCGAATAAGACACCAGATTTATTTAATTGGGAATTTCAAGAATATGTCTAAATATTCCATTGTTTCTGCTCGTTTTCGTACAATAACCTATTACAATATACGTTCATTTTAAACACACATAATCAGGATTATAGTTAATATATAAATTCTGTATAAAATATTGGATTTTTTACGAAACATGTTGGAATAAAACCTAAATAAAAACTCAGAGGTGTTTTAAGAATCTTTTTCTTTATGCATTTGGTTCTAGATGTCACAAGGGAAAAAATGTTTTTTCCCTCCAAATTTATTCAAGTTTAATGAAACAAGTTAACAGCGGCATTTGTATTTGTAAGAGCTAATTCTTTTTGTTCAGCTAATCCTAAAATTTAGCAATAAATAGAATAGATTGAGGGATTGAATACCTGGCACACAATTAAGACATTAGGAGAAGTATTTGATCCCCATGTAGAGCGCACGTGCCTTGACTTAAAGGACACGAGGCCAAAGAACTAAAATTTGCTCCTGAATTAGCTCTTAGGCTAGATGAGCTAATTAGAGAAAGAATCAAAGAAACAACCCGATGAGATTTGAGTATTAAAAGCCTGAATCTTAGCAAACCCTGCCGCAAATTTTCAACTTAAAATCTTTTAGTTTCGTGAACCATGTTTTCTCCTTGGGATAAGTCGCCCGGGCGATCGTTTTAGGAGAGCGTGTAAGTTTTGAGTGAGTGTTAGAAGGCTGGGTGTCACTCGAAGAAAAAAAAAAATTGGAGGCATACAAACAAGGATGTATGCGTGTCTGAAATAGCTGGCACGCGTCATGTGCAGAAAGTACATTGTGCCGCACCGACCAAAGCTATTTGCATGTGTTTTTGTAGTTTGTTCCCCGGACAGTTGTGCCATCCTTTGGAAGAATTAAACCAAGTCAATATTGACCCTGGCAAGTGTACTAATTCTTTCTTCTGCTATTGAAAACCGTAAAACAACCGGCTGAATGGTCGTTCACTTGATTCTTCTATTGTCAATTGAAGCTATTCGCAGTATTTAGGTCATATCGTTAAAAACGTATTCATTTGTATTTATGCGTCTTTATCTTAAGTGGTCATATCTTAAGAGATTCCTCACTCGACTTGTTCAAAAATATCGCGAAAATGCTGAAGAAAAGCAATTTCAAATCCTGTAGAAGATGCTCGTAAATGGATAGACTGACGTAATCCTTATGTTTAGTGCATACCCTGGAATAAACTATCTTAATGAGCTTAATTTGTCTTGTTTCGAATTGTATGGCTTCACCTGTTAGACATTGTTTTGGGGGTAAAAACCACACAACTTGAAAGGCTTCTCTGCACTGTAAGGACTTCCTTGAAACTTCCAAGATATTGCACGATGGAATTTCAAGGGGCCAAATAAAACAATATCAAAAAACGTGCCTCGCCCGACTCTCAAGAATAGCAAAAACAACAACAGCACAAACGCAAAAAAAGCAACAACACTGAAAAAGAACGTGGGGGAAAAAAGAAAGAAAAAAGGCAGATTCCAAGTGGAAAGTTTTGGGGCTTTTAACTCACCGGCCCGGACTCATACATCTGCTCACTTTTGCACGAGCAGAGAAGTGGGAGGTTCGAGCTACCAATTCGCGCTGGAAGGGCTTTTTATCTATTTTCATCGTTAATTCCAGTGGAGTGTCTCAATTAGCCCAAAGAAAAACCCCTTATTTTCTACTCTCTTTTTTCATCATTTAAGAACAAAATGATACCGCCACGCGACTCTATCAAAATAAGGTATTGTCTTGCACCCCAAGCTGTCCTGGATGTTTAATTAGCAAGTTGAGTATATGCAAGCCCAAAGAGCGAAGGTAGCGCAAGGTAAGCCTGTCAATCACTAGTCTTCTTTATTTGGAGAGCGCCACGCGAATGGCCACGCGCCATGGCAAACAAATACCTTCCTGACCCCGAGCGAGCCAGCTGGAAAAAAAACGACCATTTTTTATTGTAGTTTAATTTTTGTTTTTCTATGTAAACGTTCTCCTAACGTAATATTAATTGGCTGAAATGAAATGAGGCTGTATGCCTATTGCTTAATCCAAGAAAAACTCTCGAATGAACTTAAATTAATATAGATAGATCAACGCACGCCTCTGTAAATGTATGCAGAATGGCCAAAAGAAAGGAACGCTATTGGTCCAAATCAAAGTCATAGGCAATAAATACTTGGCGTTCTACCAATAAGAACATGTTTTCTATCCCAAAGATCTTGTGATAAGAAAGTATTTTTAGCTCTTTTCGGGTGTGCAGTTTTTTTTGTTATTCATCGGAATAGTTTTCCTCATGGCGCCTAGTATCTTGAGCACCGATCGCAAGCCGATTTTGGTTGCAGTCAGCACGGCACGTGGCAGACTAACCGGAACCCTCGACGCTTTAACACTCATTCCTTGAAAAAAAAATCTCAGTATCCTACTATACAAATGAGCTTATATCAATTCAAAATATAGAACAGCTATACAAAAGCATTGTATTGTCTATTCCATAGTTCATTCAAAACCCAATTAAACGAGGGATTTTACAGCAGTTTGGAAATGAAGATGAAAAAGAACTCAAAGCGCTAGACGTTGTGGCCCAAACAGAAACGTGTTGTCACAATTGTGAATTTTTGTTCACAAAAGTAAACAGAAGTTGTACTTCATAAAACCTCTACATAAAAGGGTGTCGGACAGTAAAAATAAAATGATTTAACAATTGTAGAGCTATTCGAGCTTTTGAAAATCGAATTGGAGCTGTTAAGCCTCAAATATCCCTAACAAGGTAAAGTTGATCAGTGCGTTCAAACGCAAAATCCTAAAAAGTAATCATGATGGTGACTTTTGATCCCCTGGGAATGTGCTGTTTATTTTTCGTTTCGCAATTTTATCTAAAGTCGCTTCGAAGATTTACGTAAAAAAACGTGGGGAAAATATCAGGATTTTTCAAACTTAGAAAACACAATTGATTTGACCATTTCTGAAAATTGTCGTAAGTCCATTGGCTGTATCTTTTTTGATTTGCGATTCGTTCTCAAAATGTCATCCACAGTTGGAGTGGAGTGTAGTTTATCCACTGTGGACAGACGCGTGTTGCTCCATTGTCGAAGGACAAGAGAATTACCATAACAATCAAGCAACCCCATCACCCACGAGGAGTAATTATTATATGGCACGCGGAATTATACACCAGTATGTTGTTCAATATAACAATGGTATAAAGATCTCTTTTAAATACGTTTTTATGATATACAGGATTAACCAAAATCTCATTTTGAAAGCGGCTGAGCATGAGGATGACCATATTAACTAATTTTTGATCAAGTGGTTTTATAGTTAAGTGAATTGGTGTACGACTTCGATCTCTTCCTTAGTTTCAGTTCTTGGGGGCAAAACTGACAGGAGAAAAATTTTGTTGTTGGCCGTTAGTTCGTATTTGAATGCATGGATTATTTCATTAAATTAAAATCAAAATAAATGATACAAAAGTATGTTCCAGGGGCAAATCACTTCAGTTTAAACGGAAAAGAATCGACCACCTGGCCGAAGCAAAACCAATTTGGAGTAAAAACCATTTTTACAATGCTCCATTATGAGCGTATCAAAATAGAGACATAGTTTGTATAGCAAAGGCCTTGTCTCTGTACTTAGGCCTTGTATCGCATATAATACACAATTACTGATTTATTTATTCGGTTTTTCATGCCAGCTATAAAATATTTATGCTTTCGTTTCAATGTTCATTGAACAATTATCAGGTTAAGGCAAACTGGAACAAGCTAATACCAGCAGTAATGGAAATGTGAAGCCTTTTGTGACAAATAGCTTCTCTATTATTCTAAACCCATTTATTTAACCCTTACTACTGTGTCTTGTAAAAATCCAATCCCTATTAATTTGTATTCCATATCTCATTAAGAGCACGAACAATTACATCTCTTTTATAGAGGAAAAACATTATTGGGCACTTTTTGTCGGCGTGACATGGCGAGAAAAGGATATTTAGTTATTTTTTAGCCATTTTTTTGATGACATTTATATACATCTGCTTGTTTTCCGACACTACATTCTTTTGGGAGAAACTAAATGCCTTATCGAGATTAGGAAACGAACAGAAAAAAAGTGCATTAATTTGGAACTTTCGTATTTGAAATTGTATTAATTTATTCTTGATAGGCTAGATTGTAAATAAGGATATTCCTGGACCAGCATAAAATAAATATAATCAGTCGTGGGACCATCTCATCAATAAAGATTCATCGTTTGAAAAGGTGTGAGACGTATTTACTGAGATTGTATATTCCCTGTTGAAGTTATAAAATATGCATTAAGCTTCTTCTTTCAATACTGAATGGTGTGTGTGTGTGTATGGTGGCGGTGTGAGCTTTTGAATTGAATGACTAGAATACAAGGGAATGTGAGTGAAAACAAGGGAAAATATAAAAGGAATCCTTTACAAGTGTGCTCAAATTTGAACAAAACATGTGTACATACTCAAAAAATCTAGAATTTCAAAAACAAATTTAGATTAAAAATGAAATAAGAAAGAAAAAAAAAAAAAAAAAAAAAAAAAAAAAAAAAGGAAATAACTAATCAAATCTTATTTTTGATAATCATCTTAACTGGAGTCTCAACACCAGTTTCCTTCCATACGTCTACCCTGTTCCCAAAACAACTGGCCATAGTTAATTCTGAAGTTTAGTTACTAGTGCGCCCCATGACGTGCAAATTGCTCCTTACAATTGGGTGCTAATTAAAGATAGGGGCGGGGATTGGTTAGAGCAATTGTTCAAGAACATTGTAAAGGGTGTCACTTGATCTCCTCTCTGATTGGACGAGACGCAAGGCCTTGGGAGACCGAAGAATGAGCTTACCAATGATAATCATTCGGCACACTCGTGGTTGGGTCGTACGCCGTATGTTTTTGTTTATATTGTCCACTTCTCAGCTGACATGATTTGGATAAAAGAAAAAAGAGCACACGAAACCATTTATAAGCGACACGCGCCAAACATATTAGCCAGTTGATAGACTTGAGATCATCAAGCTCTTGCTATTCGCTGACAAAACAGCATTTGGCCGATAAGTACTTCATCAGTTTTTCTCTTGCTAACTTCAGTAAGACGAACTAAATCAAATCCTGGTAAAAAAATTTCGACCGTTGGGCTTGACCGTTGAATTCAAATTCCTGTGAGTCTTTTGGAAGTCCAGATAAAGAGACAGTGCGAGACATCCTTGGAATATAAATAACCATCCACTGAGGTCACTTAAAGTCCGGAGATGCCTCGATCATTTCTCGTTAAGTTGAAAAAGAATTGCTGTGCCTCGCCCTGGGAAGACGGTAAGTTCAGACGTTCAAAATTGGTTTTTAAGCAACATGACAAGCCAAAAATGATTTTCTTAGTTCCAAGCTACTTATTTCAGAAAAGCAAACAATGATCTTGGAAATCAAAAAAATTGGTAGCGGCTTGTTCAAAATATGCCACACTCGATTAAATATTTATTGCCAAGCAAAAAAATGTACTCTATTCTAATTTTTTTTTTGTTACTTGAATTTTTTTCTAGGAGGATCTGTAATCCCAAGCGAATCTTCACTGATGTGGGAACCAATTCGAGTGGAAATCGAACCAGCACAAGTATTCAAGCCAATCAAGTTGGATCTCCACACGCTAGACCCGGCGTGCTTAACTGGAAAAGGACAGTTCCTACCAAAGTCTCATTTCTTCAATCCGTACACTTTTAATCCATTCCAGTTAAGTCCCAACTGCCACGACTACAGTCCTGAAATCTCACCCTTCAGTCGAAGCTCTTCCATTTTTGACAGCCACAGACCTATCTCTCCAGATTTCGACGGCTCGCTGGTGCCTTCTCCAACGAAAAGCGACGATGGCTTTCCTAGAGCAAGCATCTTCGTTCCTGGGAGCACGTTTCTGGATTCCAAGGCTGAAAGACAGGAAGAAAATTTACCAACACTTGGCTCAAACGCGGTTGCTGTTGGACGAAAAAGACGAAATGGTGTACCAAAAACTTTTACTTGTGAAGTGTGCGGGAAAGTCTTCAATGCGCACTATAACCTGACACGTCATATGCCCGTGCATACCGGTGCCAGACCATTCAAATGCAAGATTTGTGGAAAAGGCTTCCGACAAGCGAGTACACTATGCCGGCACAAGATCATCCACACCAAGGAAAAACCTCATAAGTGTAACATCTGTGACAAGGCTTTTAATCGGTCATCAACTTTGAACACCCATATTCGAATTCATGCCGGCTACAAGCCCTTCGTTTGTGACATTTGTGGAAAAGGGTTCCATCAAAAGGGGAACTACAAAAATCACAGATTAACGCATACCGGAGAGAAACCTTTTAAGTGTCACGTTTGTGGAAAGGCTTTCCATCAAGTGTACAATTTGACATTTCATATGCATACTCATAATGATAAAAAGCCCTTTACCTGCAAGGAGTGCGGAAAGGGTTTCTGTAGGAACTTTGATCTCAAGAAACACGTACGGAAACTGCACGAAAGCAAGACGCAGGTTACAGAATAAGAACAACAAAAAATATTAATTGTATCGAAAGTGGTAAATTACCCCAACGAACTATAAGACATATTTGTAATTTAAAACCTCGTTTACTGCATTGAATATTACAGATACCCATAACAAACTTGTACATTTTAACAGAAAATTTGTATTGCCTTTATATAAATAATATAGATTCACTTATACTATAATCATTTCGGCGAATGTAAATATCGAGGTATATAACGGCTAGATATGGCACGTGCTAACACAATGACCACTCTTAAAGATTTTGTAAGGAAAACAATGACCAAGGCATTAAGTAAAAACTCGTTGAGATTTAGCGACAAGCTAACTTATTTTTCACGAGCGCTTCAAGCGAATTTGCCTCGATGTATGTATAGAAGAAATATGAAGTTAATAAACTCAATTGAATGTAAGTTATGTCGTAGATGCTGTTGTCTTTTATTTGATAATAAGTGCGAATTGATTTTTCTCAGATGGGATTTAGCATGTCTGAGATTTTATAGAAATTAAGCGATTCCTTTTGGTTTACAGAAAATAAACATAAACAATTGATTTGACCGACAACACACCTTTCTTTATTTTCGTACGACAATAAGAACGCTTTTCATTCCATTTAAACTGAAAATAGTTTCTAAAAGTATTCAAAATTTCTATACTTCCAAACAGGAAGTGCAAAGCTACTTTTTAATGGCGGATTTTGAATGAAAAACTATTTAACTCCACGCACAGCGTTTAAACTCTTTACCCCGAAGTAATTAGCCTAAATTTTCTAAAGCTATCTGACAGACTTTGATTTGTAATCGAAGCTTCCTTCTTAAAGGAGACAATAACCTTGAACAAGCTGCCAAAGACTCAATATAACTGTATTTGTAGCTTTTACAAATGAAACTGTGCCCCAAACTAAATCGTCTGTGCGTTTTAGCTTCGCTTTGATAAACATTTTACCGCGACTGTCAATAGAATTCGTTTCGCACAAATGAAGTGTACGCCGAGAAAATATAGGTCATTTAGAGTTCAACATTCTAAAGAAACTGTAAACAAAACTTGATGAAAAAAATTCTGGATAAACTATTGAGGATGGATTAAGAAACTGGTGGCTTTATTTTGTACATTTTTTTCAAAATTACTTGAATCGTTGAAAGAATGAAGTAAAGTGGGACAAAATCCATCAGATTATTGCTAAGTATTGGAGTCTTAAAATTGTAAAAGATGAGTAGAACTACACATTGGCAGTATTCAAAAACGTATTATGCGTTGGCACGTGTCCCTCTCATTATAAACGGTTTAAAGTTTGAAGAGGCTTCAATAATAACGCAAAACAAAGAAGTTTACGTCAACGAACGCTAGCGAGCCACACTTTTATACACACTGATAAACACACAAAAAGAAAGAAAGGAAAAAAAACGCGATCTTTTGAAAAGACTAATGCGGCTGAAGTACAAAATGTGTCCGGCATATTTGGATTTGTTTTGCGGCCGCAAATTGATTAAGTTTCATCATTTAAGTTCTTTACTAATAAGGATTTGAGTTCCAACGGTTAGAACAGTTTAAAGTTTAATGCAATTAGAAGTTTTCTAAGTAAGACTCAATAATTTATAAGCAGTTTTCGACAACATTTAATCGGTTTGAAAACATTTAATTGCCACCTTTGGTACAGGACATTTATGGCTGTTTTTTTTCAAGCTGTGAAAAAAAAAACGTTTTCTGAGCCGCAAAAAAAAAAAAAAAAAAAAAACGGCCTAAGTTAGTGTTTGCCGTTAGTTCCAAACGTTCGTTTGCTGTGTATCTAACAACATGACATAGTTTCCAAATAATGTTGGACGTATCACAACTGATTCTAAACAGGTGGGATTGCTTTTTTCTTTTATAAACCGTTCTCTATTAGACCTCTATCTCCTTGTATAAATGTATAGTTCATTCAGGTTTTTCTTTAAGTAAGAATAAAACGGCTTTTTTAAAACATGGATTAGTGTTGACAATGGTCCACGCGACGTTTCAGTCAGAGGTAAACACATCAATTGACAGAAAATTAGTACGGGTGACCGCTAACTTCTACCAATAAATCTCACCAGAGGCTTTTGGTTATCATAATATCAGGACCTGCTGCATGCAATCATAGTAAAGTATAGACTTTATTGTCAGTGAAGAGTGGGGGAGTCAAAGATTTTGAAATCCAAACACGATTGAAAAACATTGTGGTCTTATACTGAGAGCTAATGAGCATTTGAGGGAAAGCCGAAGTGTATTGCTTATTAAGATAATAGACCATTCGAAATTTGACCAAAGCCATTCTGTAAACCCTTCATTGTATAACTAAATAACACACCGTTACAAACTAGACAGATGTATCGACGATTCCTTTGACCATAATTCACGGGTATTCAGTTCTTGTTTAAGTTTGGCAGCAAGTCTAATATACTTCCACTTTTTCGATTGACCGTTTTCTCAGACAGTTGTATTGTCCATCTATCGCAACCTAGCTTAAATAGCAGGGTCATTTAGTAATTGCGAGTCCAATTCGGCAGAAGTCTAGCACAATAACTGATGTTGACTATCAGTTTTTATTTTTTTGTGTAACGTTAAGTTTTCTTAATTATAAAGATTTATGCCAAACAATAACGACAGCAATAAAACTAACAAATTAGCCCCAAAATTACCTAAGTACTTTGCGATTGTGATTTAAATGAAGAAAACGAAAATATGGACTTTTCAGTTACGTTCCTTTAATAGAACGAGAAAGAAATGTTTTACTGGCCGATAAATGTCTTTAAAAAAATTCACGGACTCATTTTGTAGCGCTAGGAAAACTAATTGTTGGGTTATGACAAAAAAAGCGAAAAAGAAAGAAAAATATATCCTGTGAGTCTGTCTGTCACTGAATCAGCGCAATGGAATTTTCCAAGATTTTCTGCAGCTAAGTTTTTTAAAGATGATATTTTTTATTCACATGCAAAGAATAATATAGGTTCAAAAGATCGTTCGTAGCGTGCAAATATCGAAGTTCGCTGAATTTATAGCAAATATGATTTAACAGGATCCCTATGGATAAAGCTTACATGCTCAACCACAGCTAGCCTTTTAATTTACTTTAAAGGGCCTTTGAATGCCACACCAACCTCCAACATTGAATACAATGTCAATATTAAAGCTGAATGATAGTTGAAAACCATCAGGTATGTGGCTAAGTGGCTTGGGTCGGCATAATGCGGTGTTCTTTGGATCGAAACTCGGATATAGGGGTACATTTCATAGTAGTTTGCGCATGCCAATGGCGCATGCGCATGCAGCACAACAACGGGCACAAGACCTTGAAGACCAGTCGTATCGATCACAAAAAGGCGCATTCTCTAAATCCCAGGTCCTTCGATCTGACATGGCCCAAGTGATGGTTTTTCAGACATTTCTTTTGATTTCTTATGCATGTGATAAAGATGAAAATAAAAGGGAAAATAATAAGTAATATAAATTCACAGATTCTGTGTACCCTCAACCGTTTCCTGCTATCTTTCTGCTCTGTTTCTGTTTTAGCATGTATCTAGCATGGCCACAAGTGATGGATTTAATTTTTGAACGCTTTTTGATTTCTTGTTTGATAAAGATGAAAGAAATGGCAAGAGAAATGGTAAAATAAGCGGAATAAATTAAATTAAAATAAATTAACAGATAAAAAAATTAATGGTTTTACGAGCATCACGGAAATGGAAAAAAATATTGCATACAGTACTCATCATTCCTGTTCGTACTAGACATGCACTAGGAATGGTTTTACTGACTGTAGTGAGTAACTTAAAAGATGTATTAAAACGTGCTTGGTTGCCGGAGCCATTCCTGTACGTAAACGCTTTTAACAGGGATGGCTCCTCTGGCTACCTATGCCTTTATTTGAGAGGCGAATATACCTAATCATTTTTTGAATCACAATCTCCTTCAAGCTGCATCAGAGGAATTGAAGTAATAGGGTGGATCGATCCACCATCCCTCCATCCATCCATTCATCTATACTTCCTCTTTTCTCGATAAGGTTGCTATTTTCTTTCACCTATCGCAATCCAAAATTTATCTTTGTTTGTTTTTAAAATTGGATGAATTTATCGCGTTGAGGATGGCAGTCAAATACATATTTACAGAGAGGGTTTAGTTAGGTTTTACACATGATGTAGGAGTTTATAGTTAAGCCATGTGAAACAAATATTCTTCTTGTGTACCTCAAATTCACAGAAGATTATAAGGCTTATGTATTTTTTTTTCTAGAATTTAAAACACGACTTTAAAATAACATTTCCAGTGCAAAAAATACAGTCAAACTCATTGACGAAATTATGAATGGCTTGATTTCACAAACGCTTTATGACTAATATTAATAAATAACATCATAGCTTATTACTTGCTCTTTGCTTCCACATCGAGTGTCCAAAATGTTCAAACTTCAAAAACTTGTGCAGAGACAGCTTTATTAGCCATGGCTTCGACCAAACATGCATTTTCGTAAACTGGTGGGTTCACAGCTTTACTGGACATGATTTTCTTGATCAGGGAACTGCGCATGCCGTTTTCTTGTCGTATTCGGCTACTTTCCAGGTTGGTCTTATCCTTTCCATCGGATATTCTTTTTCTGGAATTATTTACAAGAATCCATATATTTTCAAATACACAGTATGTGGACTTGGCTTTCGCGGTCTTTTAGTCCTCATCATTGGTCTTCTCGGGGCTTTGGGAAAGAAGACAAAGCAATCAGTGGAAGAACTAGACTAAAGAAAAGGAGAGAAGAGAACTCATAACATAATTCCAAGAGAAGAAGAAAAAGAGACGAAAGGAAAAGAGATGAGATGAGATGAGAACACAACAGAAGACAGTATTACGTAGTTATACCTCCGTATTCTAGGTGAGACAGTTGTACAGGGCGTAGCCACGATGCAATCCCTGCTACAAAAACTGCAGTTCCTCCAACCAAGATATTTCGTAAAAATGCCATTATCAGTTTGCTTAAACTAAAGAATTCTTAAGTGTCTAGATCCACAAAATAATAGTTACTTATTAGATCTTAATAGCCAGATTCAAACAATAGGAAACAAAGGAGTTGGACTGCGTCATAACACTAAATACGCTAAAATGTATTTCATTGGTTTATGAAAATCACTCTAACGTTCATGAAAATAAGATATTTTTAGGAGAACCGATTTTGAGAATGTTCTTCTCAGGGTCGTACGGAGGTGCATTGGGTGCACCATGGGCGGATCCAGCCAAAAATATAGGGAGGGGCTTGACCAAATTTTGCAAGACACCAGATAGGAAGGGGGACTAGGACTCGAAAACATAAAAGATTAGGTGAGAAATGTGGGACTAAGGGGTTAATTAAGACTGGAGAGGGGGGGGGGGGGCTTCAGCCCCACTCTGCCCCTCCCTGGATCCGCCCTTGGTGCACGTTCTTCCTCCTCAAAAGCCGACTCATTCATAATTGTTTTTCCCTTTTCTACCTGCAAATTGTAGTAACTTCACTATCGCTCAACCAGTTTTTCGGTAATTGAATTGTTCTTTCTTTCGTTTTAATACTGCAGATCCTTGGAATTTTAAACCACCCAGTTCTAGGTCCTGCGTTTACACATCGTTACTATAGAGGCTTTGCACCATCACGTGATGGCAGCCATGACAGGAGGCAAGAACGATTCTATCCGATTTACATGAGAAAGAATTCATTTTCCCAGGGGAAAAAAGACTATTGTTGTGCCTTCTGTCATCACGTGATTGTGCAAAGCCTCTATCGGTATACCGATTCAACTTTTATCGTAGTCACCGGACCAACACGTAAGAAACTCTAATCGATCCAACCAAGGTAGGACTATGTATTTGCCGACTTCGGAATAAAAGTGGTCAGACAAAAACTAAAGGCAATTTCCTTATGAAGTTATCCAACTTTTGGTTTATCTCGTTCGGAATTTGTCCCTCGTTTCTCGCAGAAAACGAGCCTGAAGAAATATGGGTACGAAACCTCTGGTAACCAATTCTCACTTGGCTGTATTCTCTCTCTTCTACAACAATTAACTTTAAAAACTTATCAAAATACGTAAGAAAAAAAACATAATTTTAGAAATGACATAAATACTTTATTTGTTATTTTTTATTTAATTGCGCATGTCAAATCCAATGAGAATATCCACACTTTGACCATATATGGTCAGTCATTCACCTCATTCCATAACATTCATTCAATCCAGGTATTTTCTATTTATATCAAACGAAGTTTAGTTATAGCATTTACTGGAAACCCCCATTTGTGCTGTATTGTGTGCTAGTCAATCGATTATTACGGTATTTCATGACCATTGAACCGGACAAAATGGTCTATAGCAGTATAATAACAATAATAATAAAGAGAATCCAAGTTATTTGAGTTAAGAAAAGAAGCTGGTAAAAAACACAAAAGGTCGGTAAAAATAGAACAGAGGTGAAGGGGATCAAGGGTAAAATTAAGCTCCTTTAGGCAGCCTGCTGCTGAAGGCGCTTCCTCTTCAAGCTTTCAGGTTCTTCTGGTGGTGGTGGGCGTGGCAGACGGAAGAAGACCTTCACCGAGTCGTAGATGAACCACTGTAGGGCAGTCAGGGTGCCAATCATGACGATACGGGGGCCAAGACCCTTCCACAAACCAGCCATTCCAAGCTCTCTGGCAGCCTGCATTGGGGAGCTTCCTGGCTGGTTGTTTAGCTTGGATACCACTGTGTCAGCAGGATGGGAGACAATGGCACAAAATACACCAGCTGAAAGACGAGAAAAACAATTAAAGGGCTGATCACGACCTTACTAGGGGAAGGGTGGAGAATTTTGAACCTTAATACTCAGGTTAGTTCCAGTGGAAAATGATTGTTGAAGACTTTTTCTTACCAATATAACCAGCAGCAAATGTGACGACAAGCTGTTCGGGTTTGGAACAATCACTCCTAAAAAATTGAAAACAGACATATTTTCATCAACTGTTACTATACGCATTTATGATCGTTATACCTCTTTAATGTGTTAGGACCACATTAGACCACGCAGCATTTTAACACACTATCAAAGTTTGTTATTTTAATCCAAAAAAAAAGCTATTGGAATCTTATATTTATAAAAAACACTTGCTTGCTGTGGTGTGCTGTGTGGAGTTACACAGGTTCAGTATTGTATATCTTTAATAATAACTTATTTATTTATTTTACTTTTTTTTAATTGACAGGGCTTAAAATAATGGCTTGTTAATCAATGGACAATTATTAGTTTTAGCTTAGTCACACCTCATTTTTGGCTCATCATTACTGGCCAAAATGACCAGCAAGGCAAAGATTTGATCAGACAAGTTTCAATTCTGGGTGGAAATTGTCCGATAAACGGCCATTATTTCAAGCCCTAATTCAGATTGAAATATTGTAATGTAACACAGGTGTTTATTTCACATTATCCGGCTCAAGTTAGGCCTTCTTGAGAAATCGGGGTTCGACATAACAGTACTCCACTTATCATTATTTCATGAAACCCTTAAAAGAATAAAGAAAACTAACCTTGGTTTAGGTACGATATATTTGTACAAGAACTCTACTGTTCTTTCAAAACAAGCAAACTTCATCATGGTGTATGGGATCTGTCGCATCCATAGTGGAGGAAGACCTTTGTAAAATCTGAAAAGAAAAGATGACATTCATTATTTACAAACATTAGGATTGGGCTTCTTTTCTCAATCAAATCAACCATCATCAATTATATTGGATGTATTCTCATTTGCTATCAATTTCTTTTCCACAGTGATCCAGCCAAGGCCAACAAAAAAATAAGTGTGTTTTCTGTTGCGTGACCGACTCTAATTTTCTTGCCGATTTTCATTCCCAAATGCACCACAGGGTTCCCAGTAAGCTCATTTCCACTGTTGTATCAGTAAAAAAAAATCTGACCTACCAACCCCAAATATTTTACTCATGAAACAGAAAACACATTTATTTTTTGTTTAGCCCAATCAGAACACAGATTACATCATTAACCCTTTCACCAAAGGGATCCCAGCTCAAAAAATACTCCACACAACAGAAAACCAGCAAAATTTAACCCCTTTTATTCAAACTGATATTTAAGCATGAAGGAGTTATTTTCATTAATAGGAACCCCATATTCAAATGAAAGGTTTGGAAGTGTACTTTCTATTCATGGTGTTGGTTCGGCAAATGAGCATCTCTGACATGAGATTGAGGC